CACAATCAGAAGGCTGTGAGTTTGATCCTAAGTAGAGGCAGATAGTTCTCTCTCTGGGCACAATGAGAATATATCATCTGAACAAAACTCCGCATTGGCAACAGGAAGGGCACTCGGCCAGAAAACACTCTTGGCTCCATTCAGTTGCCAAGACTCCACCCCTGCAAGGGATTATGGGGTCATTAAATGATGATGATTATAGGGATGCTACAATGGCTGTAAATGTGGAAAGGGGTCATAAGTCACTTTTTTTCAGTGCCATTATAATTTTGAATGGTCACTAAATGAAATGTTATAAGTTGAGGACTACCTGTACAGGACTGGTGCCTTGCCACAGCAGAAAATATTTACATTTCAATGGATTGATTCTTAAGAGGACAAAGGTAGAAGAGAAAAATAAATGATTCGAACAATGTACACAGAAGATGGAATGAAATATAATGCAAACTTCCTTTCTGACCACTAAGAGGCAAACTGAGGCATTCCCAGAAAGAAACATTTAAATTGATGAGAATAAATTATAGAATAGGAAGTAGAATAGAATGGAATGGAATAACAAAGGTGGAAGGGACCTTGGAGGTCTTCTAGTCCAACCCCCTACTTTGGCAGGAAACCGTACACCACTTCAGACAAATGGTTATCTAATCTCTTCTTGAAAACTTCCAGTGTTGGAGCACTCACAACTTCTGGAGGCAAGTTGTTCTACTGGTTAATTGTTTTATTGTCAGGAAATTTCTCCTTAGTTTCTAATCAAAAAGTCAACCATTACAATTTAAAATGTCCAAGTAAGAAAGAAAAGGGACTGGACTGATTGGATCACTTCCATTATTAAATTTTGGGTCTGTTCCTTTATGAAATAATGAATAAAGGAGTTAATGAAGGCAGGGGAAAAAACCAGACTGGCAATTTAGTGTTGACTATTTTGCATTATTTCACCAGCACTGCATTTATTATGATATTCGGGGCAACATATTAAGAACTTTGTCTTCGGCCAGCCACCTGGGATCAATTCACTATTGCAATTGCCCCAGGAATGGGAAAAATCAGTGCATCCCCCCCAGTCCATCTGCAGGGCTTGTTCCCCAACTTTTGCAATGCTGGATTACATAGCCCATCTCCTCCCCAAAAGGCAAGCTAAAGGTTGCAAGAAAAAAGCACCTTGCTGGGGCCTAATCGCTCTTTTGCATTGCTTGCTTTAAAAAAAAATACTTTATTCATTAAATATGACACTCAGACATTCAAAAATGTATCCCTAATAATAATAACTTTTATTATTATTGTTTTTATTAGTTTTTATTATACTTTACTCATTAAACATG